TTGAGCCTCCATGAGTGAGTTTCTGCTGACTTCTGAATTTGTATTAAGCACTGGCCCCTTGTTCCCAGCCTCTATCTTCTGATGTCTGCTGAATCTTGGTCCTGTTGATGTCTTCAAGTATAGTGTAGCCCAACCTGAATCTTTTAGTGAGTGAAAATTGGTAACCATCCTTAACCATCCCATTTTGACTATCAGTTGCTCAGGCTGATAAATAATATACTACAGGCTGCAACTTCACCTTCCACTAGTTGGTCTGAGGTTCAGTGATTTGTGTCCACAGAGAAATAGACAATGTTAACTGATTGTACACTCAGACAATTAATCCATCTCTTGTTGCTAGTATCTTTGCCTTATGAATTCTAGTTTCTTTTCTTTCTTTCTTTCTTTCTTTCTTTCTTTCTTTCTTTCTTTCTTTCTTTCTGTCTCTCTCTCTCTCTCTCTCTTTCTTTCTTAGAAGAAAGCATTTGACAGTAGGGTAGGAAATCTAGAATTCACTGAATTTCAGATTACTGTGTACAGGACTATTAAATGGAATAGTCATGAATACTGAACAGCTTTAGTTGCTAGTGAATGAACTGATTAGAGCCTTACAAATAAATTCTAAATCATCAGCCAATATACTATAGTTCAATTAAAAAAATATTTGTGAAAGACATACTTTGTAATACAATTATTTAAATTAGTTTCAGCTTCTAGTTATCTGAAAGGCATTTTTCATGGAGTTCAGAGTAGAATTTCATAAGTATAGATTCATGTTTGTTGCCTTTCACTATGTAGTACCTTAATGATACATACTTGATAGGTGAGCTGATTATGATAGAATGTCACATACGATAAATATATTAAACAAATAACTCTCACAGCTGAAAGTTTTTCTGAAAGAAAGGTTTTATTGAGACAAGGCTCGCCAGCAAAGGACCAGGTCCTGGAGCTTGAAGTCGAAACCACCAGCAGCAGGGCTAGGGGGAGATGACAGGCATGTCTGCCATCCCAGAGGTGACAGGCGCTTTTATACACTATGTTTTGGGGAAGAAAGATGTAAGTTGCTTGAAAGAATTTACATTGTCTGCAGACTAGAGGAGCAGGAGAAAGTACAGCAGGGCAGATCTATGATAGGTACAGTCTATAAATAAGAAATATTTGCTGCTTTTGACTGGTTGTAGACAAGAGCTGAACGCTCTTACATATGCAGGATGCAGTGGTGGTTGGTGGTCAGCCGATGGTACCTGGAGGTCAACTCAAAGCTCCAACATACATTCAGGAATGTGAGCAGTCTTTTCTTAGTTGGTCCACAGCTTTTACTGGCTAATTAACTGGCTAATTATTCCTGGTTGCTAGTGACAGAGACACATGTCCAGTTGGTTAAGCTGCAAAGCATACCAGAAGTTCCAGGGGTTCAGATAAGCTTCAAGCATGACTAGATCTAGGTTCTCAATTGTATCACTGAATGCTGTCTCTTTGCTTTGGTTCTCTGGCCCCACTTTCAGCTGAGTTGGGGTTTTTTAAATTTAATTTTTAAATTGAATTTATTGGGGTAACATTGGTTAATAAAATTATGTAGGTTTCATGAGGTGTACAATTCTGTAATATATCATCTGTATATTGCATTGTGTGTTCACCATCCAAAGTAAGTCTCCTTCTGTTGCAATTTATCCTTCAGCCAGTATACTCTTCTACCTCTCCCACCCTCTTCCCCTTTGGTAATCACCATGCTGTTGTCTGTGTCTGAGTTTTTTCTCTTAATCCCTTCTCTTTTTTCACCCAGCCCTGCAACCCCCTCCCCTCTGACAGCCTTTAGTCTGTTCTTTGTATCTCAGTCTGTTTCTATTTTGTTTGTTTATTTTGTGTGTTAGTTTCCACATATGAGTGAAATCATACATATTTGTCTTTCTCTGCCTGGCTTATTTCACTTAGCGTAATGTTCTCCAGATCTATCCATGCTGTCACAGAGGGTAAGGTTCCCTTCTTTTTATGGCCGAGTAGTATTCCATTGTGTAAACATACCACAGCTTTTTCATTCACTCAACTGCTGATGGACACTTGGACTGCTTCCAAATCTTGGCTATTATAAGTAAAGCTCCAATAAATACAGGGGGCATAGATTCTTTTGGATTAATGCTTTGGGTTTCTTCAAATATATTGCCAGAAGTGGAATCTCTGGGTCATAAGACAGTTCCACTTTTGATTTTTTGAGGTATCTCCATACTGCTTTCCACAGTGGCTGCACCAGTCTGCATTCCCACCAACAGTGCACAAGGGTTCTCTTTTTTCCACATCTTTACCAGCACTTGTTTATAGGAAACCATTCAGCATGGCATGTGCCCAGCTCCCACTCAGAAACGCCAGTGGAAAGCAAGGTCTGGTGCATGGGACCCACATCCACAGATAGGTTCTCCCATGGGGAATCAGGCCTGCATTGTGTCTGGGACGCTTTGAGACTTGCTTTTTGCTAAAACTCCTTCACCCTGAATTGAGGCAGCAAATGTTTACTACATATATTTAAAGTAACTTCCTAAAATCTATGCTAAACCTTCCAAGGACAAGTGTAACCAGTTTAACCACTTTTCCCTTTACATTTGCAAATATCCTTCTTTTTTGATGTAATTAGCAACATCTTCTCCTTTGTTTTCTGTAAAAGATAACTACCTAAAGTGAACCTGTGCATAGTAAATGAGGACCATCCTCAATGTAATGTGCCCAGAAAAGCAATAAAAGCTTGTCAAGGCAAGGGCCAAGACTCTTTCCTCTTGAGAGAGTGGCCATGCAGTCCCTTTTCCTCCACAAGACTCGGTAGTCTGTGTGAATTTGTCTTGTCTCAGCCACAACACTGCAGACCCCATGAGCCGGATCTGCATCACTTGTTGTTTGTTGATTATTGATGACAGCCATTCTGACAAGTGTGAGGTGATATCTCATTGTGGTTTTAATTTGCATTTCTCTGATTACTAGTGGCATTGAGCATCTTATCATATATATATTGGCCATCTGTATGTCCTCTTTGGAGAAGTGTCTATTCCAGTCCTTTGCCCCTTTTTTAATTGGATATTTTGGTGGTGTTTTTTAAGTTCTTTATAAATTTTGGATATTAACCACTGATCAGATGTATCATTGGTGAATATATCCTTCCATTCCATGGATCATCTTTTCATTTTGTTGGTAGTTTCCTTTGCTGTGCAAAAGTTTTTTAATTTGATGTAGTTCCATTTATTTATTTTTTCTTTTGATTACCTTGCCTGAGACAATATATCAGAAAAAATATTGCTACAAGAGATTGCTAAGATTTTATTGCGTATGTTTTCCTCTAGGACATTTAAGTCTTTAATCCATTTTGTGTTTATTTGTGTGTACAGTGTAAGAAGGTGGTCTAGTTTCTTTCTTTCTTTCTTTCTTTCTTTTGTTCATTCTTTATTTCTTTCTTTTGCACATATCTGTTCAACTTTCCCAACACCATTTATTGCGCAGACTGTCTTTACTCCATTGTATGTTTTTGCCTCATTTGTCAAATATTTTTTAAAAGATTTTATTTTTTGAGAGAGGGAAATGGAGGGAGAAAGAGGGGAGAGAAATATCAGTGTGCAAGAGATACATCGATACATTAATTGGTTGTCTCTCGCAAACTCCCACCTAAGGACCTGGCCCACAACCCAGGCATGTGCTCTGACTGGGAATCAAACCAGCGACCTTTCGGTTTGCAGGCTGGCACTCCATCCACTGAGCCACACCCGCCAGGGTTGTTTGTCAAATATTAATTGACCCTAAAGGCGTGGTTTTATTTCTGGGCTCTCTGTTCTGTTCTGTTGATCTGTATGTCTTGTTATGCCAGTACCAGGCTGTTTCAGTTACTGTGGCCTTTGCTGGTTTGGTTTTACTGTCTGGTAGGCTTTCTCCAGGTTATGGCAAAGAGAGACTCCAGCAACTTCCGGCTCACAACCTGACAAATGTAACCCCCACGGGAGAAGATATCCTCTTCTCCGCTCCAGCACAGGTCCCAGGTTTAACTCTGATTGTCTTGGTTCAGGTGACGTGCCCACTGCTGGCCGGGCTGCTGGAGCTGGAGAGGGGGGTGGTGCCCCACAAGGAAAATGTGATTCTGTTACTAGAAGATGTACAACAACTTGGGGTGAAAAAAGTAAGAAAGAAGACATGAGGACAAGAAGAAAATGTGAACAAACCCATTCTTATTTTCAAATTTTAGCTGGGATTCATGCTGGCAAACAAATAGCCAAATATTTTTAACCCCAAAATGCCTGGATGGTTTAAATTAAGTTTCTCAACTTTTAAAAAATTATTGTTTTCCTAAAAAGACTTTTTAGATAACATTTATTTTTGCCTAACACCCCTCATGAAATTTTAATACCATAAATACACTGTATGTGTATCTGTGCTTTATATAAAAGAAGAATAAGTATAAAGCTAACTCTTTTTATCATGCAGGGTGAAGAACAACAAAATAAAATTTCAAGTTAAAATTTTAGTTAGATTGAAAGTTGCCCTGGCTGGCATAGCTCAGTCGATTGAACGCGGGCTGCGAACCAAGCATCGCAGTTTCGATTCCCAGTCAGGGCACATGCCTGGGTTGCAGGCCATGACCCCCAGCAACCACACATTGATATTTATGTTTCTCTCTTTCTCTCTCTCTCACCCTCTCTCTCTCTCCCCACCTTCCCTCTCTGAAAATAAATCAATAAAATCTTAAAAAAAAAGTCAAAGCTATTAACATTTACCTTTATATAACTGTATTGGCTGAGTATCTTTTAGTACAATTTATTTACTTATGAATTATAATGTTTCAATATATACATATTAGCAATTTTAGAGGTACATAAAAATAGCAGTGTGATCAATTTTTAAAAATTATTCAAACTTATTTTTTAATGAAAGAAAAACTGAAAAAATGTTAATTTTTTAAATATTAACTTTTAACTTTCACTTGATATGGGAAAAATGGATTTTAACTGGATGCTGGATATTCAAATATTGTTGATGCTTCTTCTTTTCAGCACTTGACATGGCTAACGATGTGTTGGATACCTTCCACAGAATTAAATAGTAAAATGTAAGCCATTTCATTTAATTCTCAAAACTCAAGCAATGCACACAGCACTGAGGGTCAAACACAGACAACGCCCTCAAGGCATCCAGCAGCACCTGCCGGTCCCCTGGAACAATCTAAATGAGGGGGAGCAATGCACTGCGAGCCATCCTCTGACCACAGCCACCGGCTCACCACAGGGTTGCAGCCCTCACCTGGCATACCAAGTGTGTCTTCCATGCCAGGTCAGTGATGCTCACGTGACACCTAGGAAAGCTCCACATGAGACATTAAACACTAAGTAATTAGATTGTGTTGGGTGGGGCTGAGCTTTGGATGGCTAGAAACCATTGTAATATCACTTTTTTCCCCTTTCCAAGAATCCATTTTTGTCGCCTGGAGGGCATGTTACTCCCATGGAGAATGGATATACTAATATAATAGGTAGCATAAAGGGCAACTTTGTGCCCTTACTTGGAGCTGACCTCCATCTTCCCATTAAAATTCACTTACTGATTTTAATTTTCTCATACCAGACAGATTTAAGCTCTCTTTGATTTGACACATCCTCAGATATTCGGTAGCTGACATCATATCCCCTCCATACCAAAGGGCCCCTTCGGGCATTCTTTCCAAGGCGAAACTTACTCACAGGCTCCTGGAAGTGGCACTCAGTTGATTCCGTTTTTTCCATTGCATTAGGTATCCTCTGGGGACAGGCACCATGTCTTATTTCCCAGGCTGGATGTCCTGTTTGGATCCACTCCAATTTGTTGTTAAAATGAAGAATCTACACCTGAACTAGAGCTGAAGGATTTCTTGCCCTGTGTTGGGCAGTGTTCATCAGTAGCACAGTCTAAGACTGCACCACCGCAGCCTGAAGGTGAAGGACCTGCGGATGCCTGCTGAGCAGTGAGCTGAAATCCCTAAGCTTTTCTTCACACCTCCTGCTGACATGCTGAATTTCTCCCCAAACCAGGTCTGGTTTGCTGACACGTCGTCGGTGTGATGTGCATTGAGGACCGCTGCATTTCTGCTAGACTCTTCCCGTCGTTCCATGTTCCATCGTGGGGAGGAGACATTCGAAGACCCTGATTCTCTTATCCCATTCATTCATTCATTCATTCACTCATTACTTATACTTCCTTTTCTAAAGATTTTAAAATAAAAATTAGTAAGGACATAAATAAAAAAAATCACTATGAGGAAAAAGGAAGCAAATTTCCCAGTTCCTAGAGTTAATGTGTGCGCTGAGACTGAGCACATGAAGTTCACATCTAAGTTTCCCCCCAAAGGAGAGGGTTGCGTTCCTCCTCCACGCATCCTCCATCGAAGGGGAGGAGGGACCTGGAAGGGCCACCTCAGGAGTTCACACACTGACTTCTCAATGTGAGATACACTTGGCACCTGAGATCTAGTCACTTAATACATTCAGTGCATATTGTAAACTCTAAGTGTTATTGGAGTAACAGAATCTTATAAAAATGTAAAATATGGCCCTTTCAACCTCATAATACAGAAAGTATGTTATTGCTTTAGCTACAGTAACATATGTTAACCATGGACATCTAACAATGAGTCAATCAGCAGCACAGTTTTGAGGAGAAAAGGCCTTGCTACTGATATTCTCTATAATGAAGGCAAAAGAGTGTTTTTGACTTGAATTATTTGGACATTTGGCCCAATCCTTTACTCAGTGAGAATAGACCTGGCTTATGAGAGTTAATTCATACCAGCTGGAGGCTGAAACAATTATAAAGCTACTTTGGAATGTCCTAAATTATGCCTAAGAGACCTGTTTTTGACAGATGTGTTCATGTGGTCTGGTCAGTTGGCATATGGAATTTTTATGTACAAGCTAGTGCAACAGCATTCACTAGGGCTTCTACTGGCATGGCGAGACAGATGGTGTAGACATTAGGTGCAGAAGCAAGCTTTGCAGTTGGCCTTAGGAGCCTGACTTTGCAGTTACCTAGATGACTTAACTTCATCTCCTTCCACCACACTCCCCCCGCCCCCCACACACACACGCATGAGAAGCCAAACCCTCCCACCTCCTGCTCCAGAATCTGCTATCGGAATTTCCTCCCAGTTTCTTGACTTAAGAGTTTCCTTCTTCCCTTCTTTGGCCCAGATCCCCACCTCCACTGTCTTCCACCCCTCCAGCTGGTCCAGGGTCAGGTCTGGAGGCTGAGGTAGTGAAGAACACTCCCCCACAGCTCTTCTCAGCACTCCCCCCACCCACCTAGTGTTAGTCTTGGCAGCTTCCAGCCCATATCCCCACACTGACCCCAAATCCCCGCTCTCTTTAACTCTCAGCTCCAGCGATGAAGTACCCAGGTGAGCCAGAGCTGCAGGTCAATCTCCTGTCCCAGATATCCCCAGAGCACACTGGGCGGTGGGGGGAATGTCTTCCCTTCTTCTCTGTAGTACCTACACGAAATAGCACAAGTCTCGACTACTTTCTCCACTGCTGTGTTTTGTTTTGTCTTTTCTCTTTTTGTGTTCTTTTTACTTTTTTGGTTTTTCTTTCTCTCTCTGTGTATGTGCACACACACGTTTAAAAGGTATACCTGAAGAGGTAAAACACTGAATCTGAATTCTGCTCTTCAGTTGCCCAGAGGGAGAGGGCAGTTCTGTTCAGAAGTCGCTAGTGGCGGCAGTGTCAGAAGTAGGAGGGTTGCAGTGAGTGGGGATGCAGCCTGGGAGCCACTGGAGACCCTGGAGTCAGAAGTCCCAATAGCCACAGTTCCTCAAACCCCTGTCCCAGAGAGGCCCCTTTCCTCTCTGCTCCACTGCTTTGCCTCCATCTAGATCCTCACCCCAGTCTTGTCCTAGCCTCTTCCCTCCTCTCCCCAATTCCACATTTTGGATGAGAAGTGGAAAGAAAGGATCCTCCATTTCGTTACAGAGGTGGGGGGTGAAGGGTAGAGGGGAGACACAATGGAGTTCTAGACATGTCTTGTAGGCCGAGCACTTGGTACAGCACAGGGTGCGACGGAAAGAGAATGGGCCAGGAGTCCCAGACTTCCTTTCCAGGCGTGGCTCCGTCACCTAGCCCTTTGGACAAATCACTGAACTCATGTGTTAGCCTTTCTAAACATCCATGTACACAACATCGCTTACTTGACGTGTTAGCTTTGCACAGTTTCCACTTGTGCATCTTTCAAATAGAAATTATGATATTTGCTCCCCTCACAAGACTGTGGGAAATTTTGGATGGCATAAAACAGGTAAATGATGCTTTGAAAGATATAAAGGGCTGTGTGGTAGGGGAGGGCACTGTGCTATCACCTGCACGTAAGATATGATATGAGAGGCAGCGTTAGCAGGTGTGGGAGCAACTGGAAGTGCCTACCCCACTGGATGATGCTAAGATGGAAGGCAAACTTTTGTTTTAAGCCCCTATAATCTTATCTTTGGAATCTTAGGGTTCAATGTTACATGGTCATCATAGACAACTTCTTGAGTCCTCTTACCAAGCCCAGTGGTGAAGCACAGGTGACCCCTTGCTATTTTCTCTTCTACCCCTTCTCCAAGGAGATATACCAAACCCTCCTTGATAATCTACCCTTTTCAGTCCTCCCCCACGGCAAGTATCATGTTGACATTCTCTCCCTACACGTGATCAGCCTCTTGAGGGCAGGGCTTGGGTCAATTTTGTTTTATGTCTCCAGTGCCTGGCACAGTGCCAGGCTAACAGTAGGCAAAGGTAACGGTCATCAGATATTGGAAAGAAGAGCCAAAGAGAGATGGGCCCAGGTATTTCTAGAACAGTAAGTGGAAAAAAAAATCAAGCTTTGACAAAAATAATTCCAAAATTCAGCTGTAAGAATAAATGTTCAATAACAGTCAAGAAATATTTGAAAAATGTTACTAAAGAAGGACCAAACTAACTCTATCAGATATTAAAACATATTATAAAATTGCAGAAATTATACCAGTGTGGTAGTGGCACAAGGGAAGATAGATCAATGGAAAGAACAGAGAGTCTTGAAAGAAACCAGAATACAAGCAAGAAACAGCATATACTAAAGGTGGTACTTTAAACCAGTGAGGAAAGTATTATTGCTCAGTAACTGCTGTTAGAATGACTGGCTATCCATCTAAGGGGGAAAGTCACCTCTACAGTCCTGTCCCATACTTTACAGCAAAATAAATGTCAGATGGATTAAATTTAAAAAGTGAGACATAAAAATTATACAGTAAGGTACAGGTAAATACTTTTAAAAGTTTAATGCAGGAAAGGCCTTTCTTAGAAGACCCTGCAGGAAGAAACCATAGTTATGACCACAGACAGCTCCTGTGCTGCAAAAACAGCCAAAGTCAAAGAGAAATTGGGATAACATATTTGTTCATATGTGAGAGATTACTATTCTCAGTAAATGAAGGGTTCTCATTATCAATAAGAATCACTTTCAAAGGGAAGTGGGTAAAGAACATGAAAGTGCAATGAACAAAGGAAAGAAAAACCTCAAGTATATATGTCTTCAAGAGCAATTTAGAACGTGCCAATGAAAATAATGAGATTTTTATTGCTACTATTTTAATAGCAAACATTTTAAAAGAATACAGTGCTCAGTGCTGGGGAGGCTGTGGGGCAAGAACTCCCCTTCCCATGGGGAGGGATCGTTCACACACAGGTGGGAGTGAGGGTGAAGTGTGGGAGGAAGGGTGGGGCAGTCAGGGTGGGGAACAGAGTGCCTAGAAGAGGCCCAGTGTGGTATTGGCCCTGGCCAGCGCAGCTGGAGACTTCATGAGGGTTGGGTGGGGGGGGGGCGGGTAGGAAGCTGGACTGCAGGAGAGGGAGGGGAAAACGGGGTCAAGAGGGAACTCAGAATAAGGGGGATTTCTGAGGCCATTACATCTAGGTTTCCTTTCATAAAGTCTGCCTTGTTCCTGCTTTTGGTTTTTATAGAACATCCGAAGAATCAACTCTGAAAACCCAGCACACATTGATACTGGTTTCTTTTTAAAGTTGTACCGACATACCATTTTCAACATTTCTATCAGGAGGTGTAACGCAGTGGCAGAAACAAGCCAGGGCCGGCATCTGAGTGTGATGTGGGTGGCAGAGGCAGCCCCAGAGGGGCGGGAGGGCACAGTGAGAGGGTGAATCTCACGCTGTTAGCGATGGGGTTTCGGGCATACTGTTCAATCTCTCTGAATTTGTTTCCCATGTGTTTGTATTTCTGTAAGTAGGAATAATAGTACTAACTTCACGATGTTGTGAGGATTAGGTAAAACTGTGTATGTAAAATCCTGAGAATTAGTACGGGCTTAATAAAAGTAGGTTCCCTTCTTGCTAAGAATACCAGCAAAGAGAGAACTAATTTTAAAGGTGTCACCTCACATTTCTGATGTGGTCTAGTTCAAATAGGCCCTGAGGCCTCACTCCATTTGAGGTTCCTGTTAACCCCTGATAACAAGGGTCTTGGCAAAAAAACTGAGCTGCTTTCTGTTTTGTTAATCTCCAGGTTGAAAGGAAATCTCTGGATTCTGGTAAAATGCTGAGGGGTTCAACCAGGGCCTTCCTCCAAATCTCTGTGTTGGCTCATGTGTTGTGACTTGCATACAAATTGAAGAGTATGTGACCCATCTCTGAGGGAATGTAAAACAGAAGATGGGCAAACAGGAGCCCCAAAGAGCCTCCCAAGACACTTGAATCATATGGGGGTGGCTGTGCCATCTCAGAGCAGCTACTAAATGCTCATGGCTGTCAGAATCTGGGGATTACCTGTGGCCATATGGTAAGTACTAAAACACCACATGATAAGGCTAATCAAAATGGTCAGGGAGGAAGCCCACACTCAGCAGGGGAGGGTGGAGGGTTGACTCTCCCCTCTCACCCTAACACTCGGGGCATAAAATCAGGTAGCTGCTGGCATTGCTGCTGCTGCTATTGCCGTAGTCTTCCTTTTGGGAGGCAGTGTGGGAAGGTGTGCTAAAAAAAATAAAGAGAAGCATCAACATCAGAATTAGAAGAACATGGTCTTAATTTTCCCACTGCTATCTTCCGGGTTAGTCGTTCTCAGACTTTAACGTGCTTCCAATCACCTGGAGGACTTGTTGAAACAGACTCCAGAGACCCCGCTCAGAGTTCCAGGGCAGGACCTGAGAATGTGCATTTCAAACACACTCCCAGGCGATGCTGATGCTGCAGGTCTGTGGCCGGCTCTGGGAAGTACCGCTCTGGATGATTTTTAGACATCTGGCCCCAGTGCTAGGGGATCTGCTCTGAAGGTTGACTTGTTTCCCTGCCCCCCCTCCTACCCAGATTATTTAGACCAGTTGCCTCAAGTTTTCAAAAAGTAAAGGTAATCTCATTAACAAAACAAAGAAATAAGCAAAATATAACCAAAGACACTGAAATAGAGAACAGGCTGACAGTGTTCAGAGGGGAGGGGGAGGGTATTTTAGGGGAATTTCAGGGGAAAAGGGGAAGGGTTTACAGGAACAAGTATAAAGGACACATAGACAAAAACCAGGGGCGGATGGAAATGGGAAGGAGGTGGGGAGGGCTGGGTGGGTGGGCTGGGATGGGAGCAAAACATAGAAGATTGTACTTGAACAATAATTAAAATAAAATTAAAAAAAGTAAAAGTAATCACCTCAACAGAACAGTC